AAAAGCAGTACGCACGTATTTTTACGTGATGACGCTGTGCGGCCACCACTGAAACAGCCGTATGAGGGCCCATATGAAATTTTATGTCGTGGTGAGAAAACTCTAACAATAAGGGCAAGAGGACGCACGATGAACGTCAGCATGGATCGAGTGAAACCAGCATATTTTGCAAATGAAGCTGATGAAGGTTGTTGCCAAGATAGTGTCAAGGTGTTAGATGATGACAGTAACAAGCAGATAGCACCGAAGGTGACTCGAGTGGGTAGAATAGTGCGTTTTCCATTGAGGCTTATGAGGTAGTAATAATGTGTAATACGGATAGAATTTGTCGTGATGCAGCTGTCAAATTCTAGAAGGGGCTGTGTGGTGAGAATCAACAAAGTAGGCTAAAATTGTCAGATTCTCTGATATTTAAAAATATTTAATTTAAAAATATTTATTCAGATTTTTTCAGTCAGTTGATCAGTCAGTCAATTAGTTAGTGTTTCTAAAGTTGTATTAAAAATAATAAAAGTTTGTGTTACAATAAATACTGTTTTTTATTAATAAAAGCTATTTGGTTATTGTAATCACAACACTCTTGTATACCTGAATAACGGTTTGATACGAATACCAAGTCGTCGGCGTATTTAAGATCACCCAGCTTATTGCTCAGCCCCCAGTCAATTCCATGTTGCTGCATGTTACTTCTTAATTTATTTAATAAGTTTTATATATATTCAGCTCTCACCTAGCTAATAGTTCAATTATGTTTTGGAAATGCATGCTTGTCAGAGCAATTATTAAGCGATTTTACTAATATGTAATAATAATTTTATTTTTAAAATAAAAACGAAATAAAATCCGTTTTTCATATCTTTTTGTACCAACAGGAATATCTCCTATGTATGACTCCATAAAATCAAAAATAAATAAAAGTTATCTACATAATTTATTAAGAAAAAAATTAAGTTAATTTAAATTTTATTAAAATCATATAATTGAATAATTAAATTATTGCTTTCAGGATACTGCAGGACAGGAACGCTATAGAACAATAACAACTGCATACTATCGCGGGGCAATGGGTTTCATTCTAATGTATGACGTTACAAACGAGGAAAGTTTTAATTCTGTGCAGGACTGGTATGTATTTTTTCTTTAATGTTTATTTTAACTTAATTATGACAAGAATATTTAAATTGATGTAACTCAAATAGGGTAACTCAAATAAAAACATATTCCTGGGATAATGCACAAGTTATACTTGTTGGGAACAAGTGTGATATGGAGGATCAGCGGGTTATTTCATATGAAAGAGGCCGTCAGTTAGCTGATCAATTAGGTGTTGAATTTTTTGAAACTTCAGCTAAGGAAAATGTCAATGTCAAGGTATGTGCAAATAAATTCAAATTAAAAATAAAAAAATTAAAAAATTATTTTTCCTAACACACATATAGGCTGTATTCGAGCGTCTTGTTGATATCATATGCGATAAAATGTCGGAGAGTTTAGACTCAGATCCAACGTTAGTTGGTGCCGGACAGAAAGGACAACGACTGACAGATCAACCACAAGGCACACCTAATGCAAATTGCAATTGTTAAATTTATATACATATATATATGTATTTATATATATATATATATAATTAGTGGTTATATATACATATTAGAAAAAGCTGAAAACATAATTAATTAATTAATGGCAAAAAAAAAAAAATAATTCATGCATAAATAACTATATTTAATACGGTATTTATTGATAAAAAATATTTTAAAAATTGAAAAGACATAAAACAAAAGATACTGGAACTGTAACTTTAGTATATAAAATTATAAATAATATAAATAAAATGTTTGAAATTAAAATCTAGATAAAAAATTTGAATGTAATGGCCTAAACATTATTATTATTCATATAATGTATTTGTGTATGAAAGAAAGATAACTACGAACGAAAAAATTGTTAAAAATTTATTAAAAAATTATTACGAGTATAATTTTATAATTATTCAAGTAAATATCTTTGTATGTTTAAATTTTGTTAAGTGTAATTTAATTATTGTGAAAAATATTTAAAAAAAGAGAAACACTAATTATAACATAACACTTTTGTACTATTTGAACGTAATTCTGTAAAAATATTTTCTGATGGAAAATCAATATGGATCATACTACATATATAAACTACAATCTTTATGCGGTTAAGACTTTGAATCGAGGTACTTATATATTGTGTAAAGAGAAACGATATTGTTGTTTTTTTTTTAACTAAGTAGGAATAAATGCGTTACAACTGTTAGTGCTTAGTGGGCTCAGCATAAAGATTGGTGCGGAAATTTTGTTTTAAAAACTGAGTTATAGATGTCGCTTTGCACCATTTAAGAGATTTGAAATGAGTGCACACAAAAACCACTTGAATTATAACGTAATATTACTCATGATCCAAAATAACTGCTAATACAGTTTTACTAGTACATATTTCAAAAGTACCGTGGCTTGAAATTATTGTCTTGACCCGATTTTTATGCTTATATGTAATATATATTGTAATGTTTAGTTCTCTGAATTATTGGCTAATTCTTAATAATTAATATTAATTTGCAGTAAAATATTGTTTCATTTAATATGTTATTGATTGTATTTTATATGTAAATTGTTTTAATTGCTTTTGGTGTAAACATAGCACAATAAATATTTTAAAGAAATTATTTGTTAAATGAATGCGAAATGCATTTAAATAATAAATACATATTAAAATGATAAAATAATTTGTATATCAACATAAAATTATATTAGCAAAAATTGTAGTAAGCAAATATTTGAATGTTGCATAAAATGGTAAAAATAAAAAATAAAGATTGTTTTAAAATAAACAATATACATATATAAAAATGTTTCAAAATATGGTATATATTATTTATTACTTTTTGATTACATGCATTCGAGGGTAGTAATGGAAATATGTAATAGCATATATAAGTTTTTACATGAACTAGTAAGAGTAAAAGTAGTAGTAGACAATAAACCAGAGATAAAGTTACTTAAAATCAAATCCGAAAAAGTATGATAAGGAATTTTTATTCTTAATCCAAAATAATTTCTAATATAGAGAAGGTCTGAACGCGACTATAGTAAAAACTTGAGAAACATTTCTAAGAAGGCACTTTTGAAATATTAAAATAATTAAAATAAGCTTATAAAGCTGTTAAAAAAGTTGCCCTAATGGTTACTTAACAAGAATACATTGTATAATCTATAGAAGAGCACTGGCATTACTGTTTGTAATTCCATAAAATAGGAATTTTTTCTGAACACAAGTTGGAGTTTCAATAAAATCGGTAGCTGGAATTCTACTATTATACTATGTTTAGATACACCTTAATTTCGCAAAAATCTTAATTTCATCCTCGCTTCAGCGAAATTAGGTTGTTTTTTCCTTACAAAATTCAGTTTTAAGGTTAGAACGAAATTACAGAAATAGCCTTAATGTCGTTGAGACGAGGCCTGAAATTAAGGGATAGATCAAATGTGACTACGCTAATAAAACTACTGAATACCATCCTTTTTAGTTAGTTGTAAAATTTCCCAGATACAAATGATGTTTGGAGCATGTCATTTTTAACATTCGATTTGTAAACAAAAAACATATGATTTCCTTAATTTGAGGCAGTATGAACACTTTCGAAATTAACTTAAATTCATTTTTACGAAATTAAGGAAATTCAGGCCTTCTGAACATATGGTAGTATTAGGTGGAAATAATATTTCTTGTTATATGTACGAACGTTAAACATTAATTTTACTCGCATTAATTACATTTTGCATGTATTATATTTATTAACTACATTTCTTAAAATATATACTTTTATATTGTTAAATTATATATATTTAATTAAATACATATTCGAAGTTTTCAAAATTTTAATTCGTTTCTATAATTCTTATATACATTATTAAAAATTATTCCAATTTTGAAAACTTTTTAAATTTTGATTTTTTTTAAATTTTAATATGTTATTATTTTAAAAATAAAACAAGAATTTTAAATTAATTTTCATTAAGGATATTGGGATTAAATTATAATATTTATGTCGTGCTCTTAAGACCAATTTAATTCATGAGTATTACATGAGATATTTTATTGTAAATAGGCTTTTAAGGTAATGCTGAACTAAAGCTGTTATTTGTCAATTTCTAAGCTATTAGCAGCTTATTTTTTTCTTATCGGCTTTATCTAAAGATAAACTACAAACAATCAAAAATATTAAAAAAAATATTAATGAAAAAATAAATACAGAAATTGTGACGTTTGTCAAAATAATCTTTTTTAATCTGAACACTGATCACAAAAAATAAATCATTAAAAATTAGATGAGAATTTTAATTTTGTTATTATCATATATAATCTATGCTGTTATTTATAATTTATTAATAATCTAACAGTTTTATTTAAAAATTATTGTAATTATTGTTATCTCCTCTAATATGTTTATTATAGTCTATTATTCTTTTATAAGTTACTAGTCATTTTTTATTTAATGTTTTCATCTGTTGATTTTTTTTCTTATTTTTATTTATTTTCTTAATAATTTATTAAAATGAAAATTTGATTAATTATCACGCCTGTCGGAGCATAGATAATTTATTGTTATAATTATTGTTATAATTTATTGTTATAATTTATTTTTTATTATTTATTTATAAGTTATTAATCATTTATTATATATCTATCACTTATTTATAAATTATTATTCATATATTGTTTATTAGTTTTTGTGATCTATTAAGTTTCTTTGTTAAGTTTCTTTCCAACTCGAAGCTTTACATTATAGCAGGTAGTACTTATTACAAATTCAGTATATAAATATAACACAGGCTTAAGCGAGATAGTGTTATTGTCAAGTTCTACTGCGGTGAATATGACAATTAAATAAATTACTTAATTTTAATAATTTTAAAATACTTATTTAAACATAACTCATAAGGAAAATATATGTGTTAGATACGTATATGACATTGTTCATAGTTTTTCAACTTGTGTTGCCTGATGCTGCCATTAGAAATTATGGCTAAATATTTTAGTTGCATTTATTGCTTTAGAAACATTATATGTAAATAAATTCATTTCTAACAAAAAATAAATCAACATTTGTTGGTATATTAAATCAGATCATCTATAAATATTCAGAAAAAATATCACAGCAATGTAACAATATGTAACAAAATTACCAAATTATAAAACTTATACATAATTATATTAAACTGAAGATCCATAGGTTTACTTAAGTCAACCAATTTCATTACAAAATTATTTTACATTTTTGAAATAATGTATTCAGGCACACACATTAGATCCATAGACCTTAAGCAGAGTCTTCATATATGGTAATTGTCTTTAAAGACTCGATTACCCGATATTATTTAGATGTTTCTTCTTACTACTATACTATTCATAAATTTCAAGCTAAGCCCACCGGTACATGAGACATATTTGCTATCAAATTAATGTTGTTATACGTTACAATTATATTGGTCTTTATAAAATTTTATAAGTATGTATTTTATTACTATGTATGAATAATTTATTTGAATTTACTTAATATTATAATTATAATTTGTAACACTAAATTTGATTGAATTTGTTTAAATAAACAATTACTTGAAGTACTTAAAAATGTTACACAAAATTAATATTAATTTCATTTAATAATTATAAATTTATTTTATATTATTTTATTTCATTATTCTTTAATTTTATTTTATTTTATTTTATTTTATTTTATTTTATTTTATTTTATTTTATTTTATTTTATTTTATATTATTTTATTTTATTTTATTTTATTTTATTTTATTTTATTTTATTTTATTTTATTTTATTTTATTTTATTTTATTTTATTTTATTTTATTTTATTTTATTTGTAACAAATAATATGCACATATTTCATATATAGCAAATAATTTAATTCCAAATTGATTTTAAGATAGAAATCTCTGGGTTCTTTACTTTAATATATTCATAATGTATTTAAAGTGGTCACATTTTCTGTTTTTTGAGCTGGACATCATACAAACATTGCCGTAAATAGTCAATAAATATCTCCCCTATCTATAATATAAATTACTGTTATAGTTATAGTAGATATATAAAATGTATTTTATAGTTCAAATTATTGACTGCTAATTCGTGCATTATTGCAAATATTTTGCTTTGACTGTTATCACATTAGTGAGTAAATCATAAATTCTCTTCGAAAATTATTTTACTTTCACTGCCTTTTTAAAGTGAAATGAAATAAAATTATGAATATTCAAAATTTATGATATGCTTAATCTATATTTCAGACAAAAAAATTATAAATAAAACAAATATATTAAGTAACTATGATAAATATAATATATTTATTATTAACTTTATTAGTCGCATTGTTATTATTCATTAACTTTAATAAAAAGAAAAAATTCATTAGAAAATAAAAAGCGTATATATACATATATAATAGAAAGTTACATTTACAAAGAAAATATACAAACATATACATAAATGTATTATAAAACACTTTCTGCACAAAATTGAAAAAATAATTAATATATATATATATATATATATATAAAAGCATATCCCTGTATTAAAAATACT